ACAGAAGCGTGCGCAATCTTCTGGATCTTTTTGGACTTACCGGAAATTTTCGGAAATATCCGAAAATCTCGGGGTCCTTATATATCACCCCGTGGACTCCTTTCTCTCTCCTTTCCACTCTTTTTCCCCACGGGATTGACTCCCTCCTCCCTCCCCACCGGCGACCACCTCCTCTCCGGCGACTTCCCGCGGCTCCCCTCCCCTCCATCCTCGTGGGAGCGCGTTTGGGGGACTTCTTGGGGCTTGCATTGTCGATCTTCACCGCGTTCTTCAAGTGTTCTTCGCGTTCTTTAGGTATTCGCCCTAAAATCAAATCCTTTGATTCCTCAAGTTTTATCTTGCAATTCCCTTTGGTGGAGATGTTCCCCTAGTGCCCTAGAACCTGTGGATTCACTTTCACCAGTTTTTGTTGGCGGATTTGTGCAGCATCTGAGTTATAGGGTTCAGCCAGAATTTTTTGGACTTTTCCGAAAATTTTCGGATATGTCCGAAAATCCCTGGCCGACCCCTATCCCTCGGTTTTGCACGATTCTTGCCTTCACTCACTTGTTTCTTGCTTCTTTGGCTTACATTCACTGATCTCTTGTATCCCTTTTGTTTGAAGGATGCCTCCCCGCAAGCAAACCTCCCACAAGCCCAAGCGCCCGAGGGACCGCTCTCCCACTCCATCCTCTCATGATGATTCGGATAGTGATTGGTCCGGTGGAGAGGAGGCGGTTCCTCAGGTTGCGCGGGTGGCTCGGGGCGGCAACCTCCCTCCTCGGCGATCTACTCATGCTCTTGGTGGTGGTGGTGGTGGTGAGGGATCCTCTCGTCAACCGCAAACGCCGTCGCACCAACCCAATGTTCCCATTGGTCCTCTCCGCATTCATACCCCTGAGAGGGATCCGGCGGTGATTCGCCAAGTGTATGATTGGCGGCGGAAGTCTGAGGTTGTTGCTCCCCGCCGGGATGAGGATCCGCGCCCCCTTCGCCGCACCGCCACGGATCCGCGGTTCTGGACTCTCTTTCAACAAGACTTTTATGAGTCTGTGATCAAGTCCAAAGCTCATCCCACCGTTCCCATGCAATGGATCAACTGGGAGGAGTTGCAGGCGCATAATGATCCGGTGATAAACTATGTGATTGCAAATTGTGATCTTATGGGTATTCGATCCTCATGACTTTGCAGCAGAATTGGTGCAACGAAATCATTGCTCAGTTTTATGCCACCATCTTCTTTGATCGTTATCGTGCCATGCACTGGATGACTCAGGGGTCCTGGTATTCTGTTTCCTATCAGCAATTGGCTGAGATTTGGGGTTTCCGTCTTCGTTCCTTGCTCAACCTTAATGACCTGCATAATCTTCAGATTCCTGCCAACACTGAGTTGCTCCCTCTTTATACTCCAAATGATCCTAATGTTGTGTTGGGCAAGGTCGACGGTCTCAGGCCGTACTTTGCCTACTTGAACCGGATGTTTCGCCGGTCCTTTGTGCCTAAGGATGGTGATGCTAGCAGCATTAACCACCTCTCTAGGACCGTGCTTCTCAGGTTTGATCCCCCTCCTCATCGCTTTCATGTTTATCACTTTGTGTGGGAGGAAATCCGCATGGCTTCCATTCAGTACAAGAAAGGGTTGGTCTATGCCCCTCACATTATGCGGATGATCGAGACTGTCACTCAACTTCAGTTCCGTCATGATGTGACTCATTCCCAGCTTCACTTGCGCCTTGTTAAGGCCCCCGCTCCTCAGCTGCTCAGGACATCCCTTCCTCTTCCACTCAGCCGCCTCCTGCTCCTGAGCGCCCTTCCCCTGTGGCTCGTCATGAGCCGTCTCCCTTATTCCGCATTTTGCAGAGTCTTTTTGGTCTTTGCTCCGCGGAGGCCAAAAAGAACCGCCGATTGCGGAATTCGGCAAAGAAAACAGCTCGCGACATCAAGTTCCTCAAGGCAAGGTATTATGAGGACCACCACATTGATGTCCCTCCTCCTCCGGGTTTCAAGGCCGAGCCCGATGAGCCAGAGGACGAAGAGATTGAGGATCCATTTGCTGGGTTGCCTCCTGACTTCGACTTCTTTGGTTATGGCCATGGCTATGGCTATCCTCCACCACCTCTAGAGGATCTCCTCAGGCGTCCTTCGCTTGAGTCGTCGTCTCATCGTCCTCTCTTTTTGGTGTCTTGATGCCAAAGGGGGAGATTATCTATCATGTCTTTAGGGTCGAGCACATTTGGCTTTTATTTGTATTAGACTATGTGTGATTTCTAAGTTAAGTTTAATGCTTTGTAAGACTTTATTGTTTAATTATGGATGCTTGAGATGTAATGGATCTTATTATGTTTAATGTGGTGCAATGCCTTATACTCTTTATATGGTGCTTGTGATGAGATATAATTATTCTTATGCATGTGATGTGTTGGATGTGATGAGCAAATGTGATATATTTGTTGTCTTGTGAGCTTCAATGTGGATGCAAAGATTTAGGGGGAGCTCTCCACTTGCTTTTATGCACACTCTTAGGGGGAGCTTTCACTAAACCTTTGCACCAAAACCTTAAATTATACTCTCTCTCTTGTGTTCTAATCGTATTGTCATCAATCACCAAAAAGGGGGAGATTGAAAGTGCATCTAGGCCCCTAATGATTTTGGTGATTAATTACAATGCGATTAGAGAGGAGTAACATTTTTCTTTAAGCAAATGTGAAGGTTGTTATGTCCTCAATGAGTTAGCGTAATGCGTATCCCGCCAAATACGTTGATGTGATGTGATGCGGCAAATGAGCAAATGGTATTTTGTACCTTTTCTTTTTTTTTAGTCAATAGGAATGCCGCACTATTAAGAGGGATGATGCATTGACATATGAGGAGTGATCAAAGTGCTCAAAATCAATTTTTAAAAGTGTTTCTCCTCAGTTTGATGTGTTCTGGAAATTTTCGGAGTTTTCCGAAAGTCATTTTCGGACTTTCCGAAAATGCACTTAACCAATTTTCGCTTCTGGAAATTTTCGGATATGTCCGAAAGACATTTTTGGACTTTCCGAAAATGACTGTGAAGGCAAATATGGTTCTTTTTATTTTCGGACTTTTCCGAAATTGATTTTCGGAGTTTCCAAAAAACTTCAGCAAAGTCAAAATCGCTTTTGGGTATTTTCGGACTTGTCCGAAAGCTATTTTCGGACTTTTCCGAAAACATCCAGAACGATGTTTTTGCTTCTGGAAATTTTCGGTTTTCGGAATGTCCGAAAAATCTTCAGTTGACTTTGCTGTTGGTGCTGAGCTGGAATTTTCAGACATGTCCGAAAATCTTTCGGAATATCCGAAAATCACAATTATTGTGCATAACGGGCAGAATTTGGGCTGTGGCTATAAATAGCCCCCTCCCCTCACTTGTGAGGGCTGCTGGTCACATTGGATATTCTTGTGCCCTTGGCTTGCTCTTGTTGAGATTCACTTAAAAGCCTTGCTTTCCTGTTTCCCCTCTCACCCGTGTTCGATTCGGATTTGGTGTGTGTGTGAGTTGTGGATTCGAGTTTGTGTGAGTGCTTGTTGTTGACTTCGTGAAAATTTGTGAGCACTTGCTTCATCTCCGGGAGTTCATTTCTTCATTTGTTACTCTTGAAGGTTGAGGACTCCTAGGCGGCTAGGTGTTGCTCCCGAGCCACCGGTCTACTTGTGGTTGGCCGGGAGAAGTTTGTGAAAGTCGGATCTCACCTCCGAAAGGAAAGAGATACCCTTAGTGGAAGGAAGAGTGCTTAGTGCAACCTCTTGAGGAAAGGGTTAGCTAAGACCCGGCTCTTAGTGAGCTCCTCAACAGAGAGTAGTATCCCCTCAAGGATTCGAACTTCGGGAACAACTTCGTGAGCTTCATCTTTGGTGACTTTACTTCCTCCTCTCCACTAGCTTTGCTTGTTTGAGCTGCTATAGGTCTAATTGCTGTTTGTGCTAGCATATTCTTGTTGTAGGCAACTAGATCTAGGATTTACTTTGCTATTTGTGCTGACTCCGAAAATTTTCGTATATATCCGAAAATTTTGGAAATATCCGAAAATTACTGCTTCCGCTTTTAATTGAATTTTTGAATTAGCCTATTCACCCCCCTCTAGGCCTAATTGACACTTTCAAGATGGGATGGACGCTGTTTGCAACCACCGTCAACGAGCGGGCGTGCGAGCAAGCAAGCCGGTGGTGTTCGCAAGCAGGCGTTGTGCACGAGATGGGCCGGCCGGCGGGCAAGCAAGCCGGCGGCGAGCAAGAGGAAGAGCAGTGAGGGCGGGCTCACAAGATGGACGACGGCAGGCGGAGATGCGTGACGACGGCCTAAGAGCGGAGGAGCTCCGGCTCGACGGCAGCCGGGCGGGCGGAGGAGCACGACGATGGCCGCACGCCGCCGCCAACGACCATCGTCGTCGCCGCCCCTACCGCCGGAGCACTCACCCTTGCCCTCTGTCATCGTCGCCACAGCCAGAGCCCGCACGGCGGATCCGAAGATCGCCTGCGACAGATCCGCCGCCGCCAAGTCCCCCGCCTCTGGATCTACCGCCGCCGCCCTCCCTACAGCCAAGCTTCGCCGCTGCAGCCCTCCCCATCACCGGATCCGCCGTCACCGAGTCCCTACCGCCACCGGCCCAAGGTGCCTGCCACCGCTCGAGCGCGCCGTCGTCATCACCACAGGGGCTCCCAAGGACGGTGGTTCTAGCTCTCCCGAGGGCGGCGTCACAGGGCGAGAAGCGCGAGCGAGCATGGACAGACAACGGCGCACGCGAGCACGGACGATGTGAGCGAGCGGGACGAAGTGGCGCGGCTCACGCCGTGCACTCGTCCCAGGTGGGACGAGCTCGTCCGACTGATTTTGCCGGATCGGTTGGTTCCGGATCTAAGAGGAATATTCCTCTCCAGGGACCAACCCAACCCACTCACCCCTAAAAGTGGGTTCGCCCTATCCCATCCCATCCTTGCAACCAAACACTACCTGAGTCCCAAGATTAGACACCAATCCCCTTGTGAGTCCATAGTGATCCATAATAGGAGGAAGAGAGATGACAAGGTTAGCAGTTAGCATTTACAAAGAGGTGGTCTGGTGGCAGCATGTAGGCGTGACCGTGTGACCAAGGGAAGCGGAGGCCAGAGAGGAGCGGATTGGGTGGTAATTTTAAGCTTGGTTCAATTCAGGCTCACAGAACAGTGTGGTTGAAGAGGCAGGCAAAGGAAGAAGGGTAGGGTTAACGAAACTCTCCTTTTAAAGTAGTAGAGATAATGATCTAAAATAACAGCTAGACTGCAAAGATTAGGATAGGCCACTATGCTTAATGTGTCAAATGCAATGCACAACAACATCAACCATACCAAAATATCCTAAACTGGTCATATAACACAAATTCACAAGATCTAAAAAATTTTGGATTACCCAGAGTGAATTGACCAATTCAAAGAACAAAAGACATCCAGGGTGAGATGACGTCACAGCGATAAGAATAGCACAATTTAGAGTTTAGGATTTAATGAACAGAGTAAAAGGGTTTAATGGAAGGTACATCAGGAAAAAAAATTAAGATGTAACCAGGCAGGACTTCAGTATAACTCACAAAGTTTTCAACAGGCAAACCAATTGGATATAACTTGTAAGCTATGAAAGTCATTAAATCTACTCCCACCCTCAATCAACTGATCCATCTGATAAGAGCATCAACAACACCATTGAAAAATTGAAATCTTGATTTCAACCATTCCAACTTATTATTAAGGAATGTAATGAAACACACCTTTTTCTCAGTACTGAGATATTCCAGCATCACAAGGTAGACTGTTAATTAAATAATTATTATTATCAGTTTTGACTTTTAGCAACTTCACACGTGAAATTAGTCTTAATGTGTTCCAGTGTATTGGAAACAAGTTATAACACTAATGACTAAACAGAACAGATGTGGTTTGTTTAAGAAATAAAATATGAAATGATTTGATCAAAAATAAAACAGAAGTACAAAATATGACCTGGAATAGGGGGAAACCTGAAACATGAATGTATCACCAATGCAACATTTCCAACATCTCCACATCAGGCCCAAGATACATTGCCAAAAAGAGTATCCACAGTGTCTGCAAGTACAGATAAGCCTCCACTCTACAATCAGCCAGGAACTATATATGCGTACTATTACTATGTATGATGCCAGAAAAATACTCGTCTAAGAGTAATATTGAAAATTAAGTAGGGAATTGAAATATGAAGGCAAGTATCAAAGCATTTTGTGAACACCCCCCCCCCCCCCACCACCACCACCACATACCACGAATTTGCATAGCTGAACAAACATGATCTTTAATACATAAAAGAACAAGCGCACTCCAAGAAAACGTCATATGTACATCATTAAGACAGAAAAGCATGAATTCTACTTTTATTTATTTTAGTTCTTAGCCGTTGAAAGCTCAACATTAGTAAACAAAGGAAATCTTACCGTATTATCAACATTGCTAATATTTTCTTCAGTGCTCACTGTTTGTAAATATTCAGTGGAAACAAATCACATGACATACTCCCACTACATGTAGTATATGGTTGCAAATGAAAATCCATGTACTTGTTGCATTACATCCAATAAGCAGATGGAGGTTTTTGTAAAGAATGACTCATATTCTGACAAATAGAAGCTTGCATACACAACAAATACATAATAGTATTTAGTTGAAATAACTAGCCTGGAAATACAAGAAAGTGAGCTTCATCATGATTTTGTTAATATCTGCTCCTATTCTGCCAAAAACCAAGAGATGACAGTAATAGCACTGGTTAGATCCATGTAGCAGTGTTTTAGTAAACCATATAACAATCTGGACTGAAAAAAACACCGTGATGAACATGAAAGATGTTTGCAATTTACTGAAGTGTACAAGACCACATAATCCAGGGACAGAACATGATCGGAAAACTGTCAGTGTGTCTTAAGAATTAATTATACATGCACAATCATGAGCCAACACCAGAATTTGTATTTATTTTTAATCATTGATAGATGTTATAAATGTTACAACCTGGGATGACTTGAACCGAAGCATCATGCAGTTATACTACATAAATATTGCTTTCTTTTATATGACAAACAACTAGAGGATCTAGTTATGCCTATTTACACAGACATTTGGGTCAAGATTAAGGCAAAGATGGAGAAGTCGTTTGGTATCTCACAGAAACATACAAGTCAAGAAAACAACCTCGTCAGCCTCAGCTGCACTATCCCAGCAGGAGTTCCACGCGCGGCTCCACGACATGCCCAAACCACCGGCGGCTCTCCTCAACGTCCAAACCAGACACTCGTGACAGCCTAGTCCACCCACCATCCACCGCATCAAACATCACCAGCCTCCCATCTACAGCATTGTACAGGCAAACGATCCCCATTCTGTCTGCAGCCTGAAAATGCCAGAAGCTGCCATGCCGACCAGCCACAAGCTCATCGAACACCTCCTCCGGCATCGCTCCCACCTCCGTCCACTCCGCGGCCGCCTCGGAGCCCTCCAGCCTCCACACCAGCACACGTTCCACCACCCCAAACCTCTCCACCCCGCCTACCAAGAACAGCCGCCCACCGAAGACGAACAGGTGTGCCGTCGTGAGGCCGAGTGGCATCGCAGCGGGCAGCACCGTCCACTGCCCCGTCGCGAGATCAAAGACGAGAATCGCGTCGGGGCCGCGGCCGAGAACGAAGAGCTGGCGGCGGTCGCCAGCCGCGTTGCCGAGGAGCGCGAACGGGAGAGGGAGATCCCCTCGAGGGTCCCACCGCGGGGAGGGATCGGCAGAGTCGAGGGTGTAGGAGCGGACACGGGCGCCCGCGGTGACCGCGACGAGGGTAAACTCGCGGGAGCATGAGGAGGAGGAGGAGGAGGAGGCCGGGATGGGGAGGACGACGGCGAGGAGGTAGGAGGTGGCGGGGAGGGGCGGGAGGCGGAGGAGCGAGGCGGCGGTGACGAGGTGGGAGGGGGAGGAGACGACGGGAGGGGAGGCGGCGGGCGGGGCGGGGAGGAGGCGGCGGGAGAGCGGGTGGAAGGCGAGGCGCGGGGAGAGGAGGAAGAAGGCGTCGAGGCGGTGCGGGGTGAGGAGGGCGTGGAAGGCCCGGGAGCGGAGGAGGCGGCGGAGCGCGCGGGAGGCGGCGGCGACGGGGAGCAGCGCGGTGAGCGGGAGGAGAGAGAGGATCCGCTCCTGGAGGTGCTCCGGGAGGGCGTCCCACGCGCAGGCGGCGGCCATGGATGGATGGATCGCCGGTTTGTTTCCTGCTGCGGCGGATGGAAGCGAACAAAAAAAAAATGGGGAAGATTTGTGTTCCTGCCGGAGAATACGGAAATGGGCGGTCATGTGGGGTGGGGCTAGGGGTGGACAGGAGGTCGTGGCTTGTTAACTCGTACTGCTCGTGATAAATTCGGTTCGGTTTGGCTCGTTTAATTTTTCTAACGACCTGAGCTGTTATTTTAGCTCGTTAAAGATAACGAGTCAGCTCGAGCTGGCTCGTGAGCTGCTCACGAGCTTTAGTAAGTCAGGACTCCAACAGACGACAGCAAAGGCCCAGCCCAAGACAATACTAAGGCTTAAGACAACAGCAAAACCCTAGATAGCTCATCCAGTCATCCGGCGCACCGCATCTTTCTCTGTCTCTGGCGAATCCTCGATCCCCTTCCGCTGTTCCACAGTGCGCCGTTGCCAGCCGCTAGGGCCGCTGCACTTCCACCAGCCGCCGCCAGCCACCGCGCGAGGAAGACGACGTGCGGCGTTCGGGGTCTCTTATCGCGCGAACGAGGCCACGGCACCGTTGAACCAGGCCTTCTCCGTGGCGGACGATGTCACCTCCAAGGACCTCCACATTGATCCCAACTCCTCCCTCTCCGTTCGCATCTTCCTCCTCACCCCGCCTTCGTACCCGCATAGCGGCACAACCTAAGGCTCCGCCCGCGCCACGGCAGCGAGCCACCGCCCGCCACCACCAATGGTGGAGGCGCGCCATACCTTCCGCACGCCGTCTCCTCTCCGCGCACCACGGCATCCACGCGGAGGAGGCTGCCCATCGCCAGCTGCTAGGTCCTCTCCTCTTCTGCCGCCAGCTGGATGGTTTGGATGGGTTGGCTCGCGAGCCTAACGAGCTAGCTCGAGCTTTCAAACAAACCGAGCCGAGCTGGGTTTCTAGCTCGTTACGATAATGAGCCGAGCCTAGCCAGTTCGTTATCATAACGAGTATGACCGAGCCGAGCGGAGCCGGCTCGCTATCCACCCCTAGGTGGGGCACATGGCCAAAGAAAGAAAGAGGGGGAACCGAACATCTGTAGCCGTAGCCCGTAGGGAAGGGAAAAAAAGGTTACTTGGATCCATGTCACTGCAAATGTAACAAATCGAAAAAAATGTCACTACTATTCACGTTATTAGATAGATGCCACTGAAAATTTTTAAAATTGAAATCATGCCACTCCGTCACCCTTCCCGTCCTCCCCCATGTCAATCTTTCCGTCCTCCCGTTCTCTCTTCACGCCGCATATCGTCGCCGCCGGGAGAAGAGCATGAGCAGTGAGAAGGGCTCCACGAGCTCGGCCCCAGTGGCGCACGCGCGGGGAGGCTCGCCTTGTAGTACTCAACAAACGCCCGGAAGTCGACAAACCGTGCAGTGAAGAGGAAGGCGAGGACATGGGAGGCAGAGAGCGCGCAGAGGACGACGAGGGCGTCGGTGAAGTCGAGCGTCAGGACCACAACCACCAGCTAGAACGCGTAGAGCACGGAGCAGGTCCACGCCCTCTACCAACTTACCGTCCACCTCGAACCGCGCCATGCCGGTGCCGCAGATCGGGGCGGGAGAGCGGCGAGGTCATCATGGGGAGGGGGGAGAGCTCAGATCGAGATTCTCTCCCCGTCATCCTCCTCCTCCGCTGCCCCGGCGATGGTCCCTCCCAGTCCATCGCTCGCTGTCACCAACCCCTTCCACTTGTCACCGTCATCCACCACCGGCGCGAACGTCATGGGCCAGTCCATGGCCGGTCACCTCCTCGCCGCCGGGGCGCCACCCTCGCAGAAAGCCCGCGCGCGCCCGCCGTCGCAGCCGATGTCATCTTCCTCATGGCCGGCTTCCCCTCCGACGTCCGCTCCACCTCCCTCACCCCTCCACGGGCGCCCTCGCCGGCCTCGCCCTAAGCGGCGTGCTCGTCAACATGACCACCTCCGACCCCACTCTCGCCACGGAGATTGCCGAGGTCGCGGCCGCCAAAGGCTACGCTGCCGTCGATGCCTCGGTCTCCGGTGGCGACCGTGGGGCCTGCAAGGCGACGCTCTCCATCTTCGCCGGCAGTGACGCGGCCGTGGTCACCCGCCTCACGCCGCTGTTCAAGCTGATGGGGAATGCACTGTACATGGGCTGAGGAGAAGGACGGGAATAGGATGCGAGAGGACGGAAAGAATGACGGGGAGGACAGGAAGGAAGGGTGACGGAGTCGCATGGTTTTAATTTTAAAAATTTTCAGTGGCATCTATCTACTAACGTGAATAGTAGTGATATATTTTTGGTTTGTCATATTTGCAGTGGCATGGATCCAATTAACCCAAAAAAAATTAATTGTTGGATGTGACTAGATAGCTATTGTTAGCCGGTTTGTCTTATCCAGCTACCACTCTATCAAGTATAAATATGTCTTTTTTAACCTCTTAAAAAAACTTATATCTTTTAAATTACATATTGTTTTTAAAATCTATTTGCACCATTGTGCTCCACTCAAAATATGTGACAAAATAAGATCCATATTGAACATATTTAAACATTTTATTAATTTAAAAGTAATTTATTACATGTTAGGAAGTAACTTCGATGTTATTAGGATGTAACTTTTACATCTTATACATGATTAATTCTCATTATCATTAGTTACTCCATCAATGTTATTTACAATCCATCAAAAGTTTTATCTTCTTTTCTCATACTACATGAAAAACAAAAGTGAAAAGGAAAAAACAATCAGTATTTAAAACAGATTTATAGAAAGTTACTTCTGAACCATACAAAAGTTACTTTCAATTAACATCAAAGTTACTTTTCAAAATTGTTAAACTTACTTGTGCTGATCTGTACTGATTAAATTTAATTTCTAGATAGAGTCACATTTTTATGCCTAAAACGAATTTACTTCTAATGTCGTGACAAAGTTACTTTTTTTTGTTTTAAGTTACTTTTATAATTTATGTAAATTACTTTTAGACTTTACTAAATTTACTTTTATATGTCTAAGAAGTAATTTAGTGAAATCTAAAAGTAATTTAAATATATTATAAAAGTAATTTATAATTTTTCATCAAAATATAATCATGTGAGATCTTGTTATAAAGATTTAATTGGTACGAACACAACGGTGTAATCGGATCATAGATCGGATGAGTAGTTTAAGAGAAAAAAATTATTTGAAGCATAGGTGGTTCCTATTTGCTTGATGGACTATTAGTATATATTTTCAGTAGAGTAACACGGAAAGCGCCGTCATTTATGGAGCATCCTCGGCCGATCGGATGGATCTTTGTGCGTCGCTGGATAGGGCGAAATCGAGAGCGCATGCGATTTAGATTTTACGATAATTGTTTTGAGTCAAACTGCTTTAAGTTTAACTAAATATAGTAATGTTACATTACTAAATTAGTTTTATTAAATTAATAATTAAATATATATTTATAATAAATTTATCTTGGATAAAAAATATTACTATTTTTTTCTATAAACTTGGTAAACTTGAAGCAGTTTGACTTTGACTAAAGTCAAAACATCTTATAGCCTGAAACGGAGGGATTATCTTCTTGGACGGGAAACAGGTCTGAAGACATTACTGGCTCAGATATAACTATGTTTATGTAATACTTAAACAAGCAAAAGGTGCTAGAGATTTGTCGCAGAAATATCATCACCGTTCGGATTTAGTTCATCTCGCGTCGTTAAATGCATTTATCATCCTGTAGCATTGAACGGTAGCATTAAACGGAGTGCTTCAAATGGAACCCTAACAGAGATGGCATATTTGAGACAAAATCGTTTGTGCGGTGGCATTTCATAGAACTCACATTTGTCGAGGGCATTTCTTAAAATTGGTGCTTGTCAATGGCATGTCTTGGATTTTCTCTTAGAAAATACAATAATTTTAATGAGTTTTAAGAAAGTATGTTACAATGGAGCCAAGTTGTAAAATTGAGTATGAGAGCCTTTCATGGTCCGAAAGAGAACTTATTTGCTACATGATAAAATATATTCGCATTGAGAGTTAAAAAAGCACATGAATAAGCATAACATCACTATTTACCTATGGCATTAAGAGTCGGGAAGACGTTTCGATAGACCACAGTCCATGTTTAGCAATGTTAGTAAAATATGGATGATAAGATTAGATAAGATTACCCAATATGATTTACATCATTAATTTATAACAAAAATAGGACGATGTTTAGGATAAGTGTTATATTTGGATACTATTAGTCGACGTAATAAATTCGGTGAGGAAAGCAAAGGTAACATTGTGGGTAGTTGATATTGATTCAGTGATAAAAACGGAATGCATGATAAGAAAAATTTGGTGATTTGAGAAATAGATGGCACAGACATTTTTCCAAATAAAAAAATAACTCATGAACTCATGGTCGTGGACATGTTGTGTACCGTGTACGGATAAACAAACTGGTGGCTGAGAAATAGAAAAACTGACAAAAGTCTATCTTAAACTCCTGAACATTTTCTAATGTTAGAAAGTCGTTCATAATTTTTCATACCAGAGACTATATATTGACCATATTTGTTAAACCTCTTGACAAACCGGATTGGACCAATTCTAGTGGTGTTGACCTGTCCAGATGATTTGAATACATGCCAAAATTAAAATTGCAAAACCCATTATGTGAACCTCACATCTCTTCTTTTTCCATCCCTCTTTACCTAGAAAAATCTCCAAGTAGCACTGATAAAATTTAAATTATTAGCTCAAAATTAGCGAAAAATTAGATATAAGAGGAAGACTGGAGGCATATTCCAACTGATAATCTCAGCCCTCACGTCGCCCTCCCTCTCGGGCGACACGAGGGTGATGTGGAAGGCAACTAGGCCGCCGTCGCCCGCCTCTCCCTCCCTCGTCCTCCGGCCGCCGGCAAAGCCACGTGGCCGCAAGGACGACGGTGGTGGGGCTTCGTTTCTCTCACCACGTAGGGGCAGGGGGGCTGCTCGGAACCGTCCAGATCTGTGCCGTCTGGCTGGATCTAGTGAGGAGGAAGTCGGTGGTGGGGTAGTGCAGTGGGGCGGCGGCGTTTGACGGGGGTGGCGGTGGTGGAAGTGGCTGGCGATGGGGTCTGCTGCTGGTGACGGAAGGCGGTGCCCGGTGGCGTGACGGCGGGCGAGGTCCGACTCCGCGACGGTTGGATCTGGCCGGACGATGACAGGGGGTGGTGGGAGCATCCATGGATACGGCGGCCGGTGCTGTGGGCGACGGAAGCAGCGGTTGGCGGGGATGGTGCGACAGCGAGGAGGCCAGCGGAGGCACATGCGACCGGCGCGGAGGCACATGCGACCGACGCGAAGGCCTCGGAGACCGCAATGGCGATGGAGGTGATGTCGGTGGAGGCGGAGACGTGCCAGCGAAGGTTTTGATGGTGGTGGAGCAATGGATTTCCGTCGCATGAGGCCTCAGAGACCTTGACGGCGGCGGAGGTAATGTCAGTGGAGGCGGAGCCCGGTGAGGTGGCTGCACGCGGAGACTGGCCAGCGGGGGGCGGCGATGCAGTGTGCCCATGCACCAGCGAAGGTTTTGATGGTGGTGGAGCAATGGTGTTTCTATGCTAATTGGCAGGTGGTGGACGGTGGGTGAAAACCTAGCCCGGCCTCTGTCGGACCGACAATCGATGGTACTCAAGTGTCATTCCTCTCCTGAGGGTGTTATCGTGCCGTCTCACCCCTCAAGGGTGGTTGCTGGGCGAAAGCCCAGTCTCGGCTCTCTTGAGACCTTAACGGACGATGGCGGTTGTGTTTCCATCGCTTCTCTCCTTGGAGACGTCGTCTAGGCATCCCCTTGCCAAAACCACCCAAACTTTTGGCACAAGCACGCTCTAGATTTCTTCCTCTTGTAGCGGTGTCTAGTTTATACAAGTTGGCCACGACAGAGGGCACTTTGTGTTGTTTGTAAGGGTCAGGTTTTAGGTGATATCGGTTGTTCTGTTGTTGGCTTAGCGGTGGTCGGTCTGGTGCTAGTCTTCTCCAGGACTTGTGGTTTGGCGCTATCAATGTATGGGTAGCGGTATATTTTTTCGTTTTTTCTTGGTTACGAGCTTTCAGAGTCGTAATCTTGTCATTTTTTCCTTCTCTATCAATAGAACTTCGCACCATCTTGTGCGACTCGTTAGAAAAAAGATATAAGAGAAAGATGTAGCCTTGTACTCGATAGGTGCTTTTCCCCTATGCTAGCAAAGAAACACCATCTCCTCTATGATCTCCCAAAATACTAACGAATGGGAGCATATAACTAGCTTGAAGGCCATAAATGTATTGGCAAACCTTCACAATCTAACCGATCCACCACGTCAATAACTGAAGATGATGTCGAGCCCATTCAGCAGGTTCCTAAATCCACTAAATCGACAATTGATATTCAGGATGTTCTCGGACCCACTATGTCGATGATTGTAGAAGATATTAAACCTATTTAGCACGTTCCCTGGTGGATTTGCGATTCATTACATCCTGCCGGCAATCCACCACATCATGCTGGCTATAGCTCATAATCAATGTCGGCATTGACTTCATCATATTGGATGGTCGATAGGCCAATCGGTCAATTGGATAAATGTTCCATAAATAAAGTAAAGTATGGAAATAGAGTCGGCTACATGTGTTTAATGGCGCTACCCCATGCTTGGCTGATGTCCTCCGAGCCATCATTAATGAGGACGCTCTTTGGTGCCTAGCAGAAGCTGCTTGGCTCCATGATCTCTTTACTAGGACTGTGCTATTAATGCACTAGTTTGTGTTTTTTTCCTTTGGGTGTGTGGTACTCTGTTGTATCCTTGGTGTACGGGTGTTGGAATCTTTCTCTAACACCGTACACCTTTTTTTCTCTATCTTAATGAAATGATACGTAGATCTCCTGCGTGTTAAAAAAAAGTGGAGCCTATTCAATTTGGTTGGCCTCTAGGATGATTGGCAAGGTGGCGGTCTAGCTTGACACTCCTTTGCCTTCCATAGTGAGTAAGTGGTTGGTTGGCGTGTTTGAGGTGGCTAGCCAGCCACCCTTGACAAGCCGATAAGGCCTCCTGGCCCTTGACATAATTTTCTTCCAAAATTCGTGTATTTCTAACTTTATTTAGATATTACTTGCAAAATAACTAAGACATGATAAAACTAGTGGAAACCTATTAGTCTAAACCAAATCGATACATTGAACGTTGTTCTACTTGGCTGTCTCATACTTTTTTTATTTCTCTCTTTCTTTGGATTTTTTTAGTGTACCTCTAAATGAATATGGATCGTTGAATAGATGAGATATAAGGGTGGAAATTCGTTTAATTCTGGAAAAAATATTATGGCGTTCTCGTAAATTCAGCATTAAGAGAGGGAGTAATATGTCCTTGCCCAAGGATCGCCCCGTATAGGATCGGCACCCTGATCTGGACGCCAGAGGTGGCCGGCGCCGTCCGTCTCCGCCTACCTCCCGCTCCCTCCTTCCTCCCGTCGCCTCATGCCCCCGCATCCGCACGGCTGAAGTCGCCTACGCAGGGGAGGAGCGAAACCCTAGCTCCGGATTCTTCTCCTCTCCTCCTTTCTTCTCTCCGATGCACCCGAGTGACCGAGTGTGCGGCGGCGATGGTGACGACGACGGTCCGGCGGAGTGGTGCGCACGAGCTGTCGGCTGGGGGCGCAGCGAGGTGTGAACGGCGCGCGTGCGGTGGCACCGGCGCACCCAAGAGGGGGCTTGGAGTGCAAGCCAGAGCACGCAAGGACGGAGCGTGTGCCGGCGCGCGAGGACGGTGTTGCATGCTTCCTGGCGGTGGCTGCACAGCGAGCTTATGCCTTGATGTTCTTCGGTGGTTTAGGGCTCCAATTCGGTATGCAATTTGCCCGATTCGAAAACAGCTTTAGTAAATTTTGGGGCTTTTGATTGTAGTGTTTTCTGAATTTGGGGATTTCTTGAATTAGGGTTATTGGGCTTGACGAATTTTGTGATTTTGGGACTGTGCGTGATCTGCCGGCACCTCCGCCGCTGACGACAGGGGAGGTTGCATGCCATCGACATTGTGCCCCCGTAGTGTCGACTTGAACCGGCTTGGACACAACTCCAGGCTTCGTCTCAAACAGGCATGTGATTTCCTGATGCGTTCTTCGTGGGAAAAAAAGTAAGCAACCCTGTAGGTATTGATACTTTGGTAGAATTGTCATAAGGTAAAAGTGCTCTGTTGTGATAAATTGAGATTGTAACAATGCGATTGGGATGAAGTATGTAGATTTCAATAATAGCTGGATTCATGATTAATAGCTGGATCGAATCATTAATTGATCCCAGCGTCCACCTTTTGTTGTGCGAGTTAACACATACTCGTAGGGAGGGCTTATCAGTTTTAGTAAGCAATTTTTTCAACTACTACCGGCAATTGTTAGAAACTACTGGCAGGCACTGCTCAAATGGACATCATACGATTCATAACTTACATGTCCTCACCAAAAGAATTTTATATGACAAAAATAACATTAGTTAAGGGTAGGATCACTTGTTTAGATACATAGGTTTGGCCAGTTCAACCTGCTCCATTGTTTCAGCCTGAAAAGCATTTTGCTATTTTTTGACCTTTGATGGCCTTTAGGGGTTGATCTAGTTGATTTGGCCAAATAATAAGGACTTTAAAATGTTGTAGCATGGCATATAGTGGTGCTGAATATTTAAAATTCATGTGGCCGAAGTAGTTTGTTGGTAGGTTTGAAATTTTTGATAATTTTGTTTGTAGGTTTGAAAATCCAGATACTAATGATGTTAGTGATTTGTTATAGATGGCTGTGGCCTGTGAAAGTATGAAAACTTTCAGAAAATAGTAGATAGCTGTTTAATTTGCTTTATTATTTAATTTATTTTTGTGCTCGGTTTTTGTACTTGCATAGCAGATCCTTGATATTTTTGAAATTGTAATGATTTCCTTACATGCCACTATGAGTTAATTGTTGCTAGCTGTTCAGGTTATTTTTCCAAGATGAAGTGACTGCAACGTCATTTGACTGAATTGGAAGGATATTGCAGCTAGTTGCTTGCCTATTGCAGCTGTTCTGGCAATATAGAGTGCAATTACCAGGATGTTTTTGGCAGAAGCTGCATATTTTTGTTGTAGGTGCAATATTCTTCTGAAGATACAAAGCTTCATATTTTGCTGAAGATAGACAAGTTGTACAGATGCATGTGCTGATCCTAGAGAGAAATTGTGTTTGTGTAGCCTACTTTTGATGATTTTCGTTTTCTGCTGGTTACTTGTATGAATACATTATATAGATGACTTTGTATGAATGCATGTTCTGTAATTGATTTCAGACATGATGAGGATCTTGTAAGATATTTTTGGTTGGATTGAAAACGCATATAAATTACATGGCAATGCTCAAATCTGATCCATTGCAGGTTCAGCACATGACAAATTTGAGAAAATAATATGACAGAAAAATTTCGGTGGTGATTTTGGCGTGTGTTTGACGGCGGCGGCGAGTACTGCCAATAAGATAAGTATCGTTGGCGTGTGATGGGCCTCCCGGAGTTTAGATTCGCATTACCAACTGATCTCTCTAGCGACAATAAATTCAGATATGGCAATATGAACTGGTCATCCGCTGCAGCATAGGAATTAAGTGATGCGGTTAGACTGTGTGATAATTTTAAGAAAATGTTGAATTTAACATCCATGATACATATATGTGCCCAAGTTAAACAACACTGCAGTTGGTCCTAGTTTAAACTAAAACTTCCAGTCACTAGAACTTCAGTATCTGTAGTTTCAATACTAGAGCATAAGGCAAAACTAGACAGCTTGAGCCACTTGAATTTCAGTATGTTAAACCTAAATTCAGGAGTTGTTCATTAACTGGGTTATATACTGAATTTAGAGCTTAGCTTCAGGTTTCAGTTTTTTGAAAGAAAATTCAGTACTTGAACTCAGATTTAGAACAAACACCACTACAACATCAGATTTCAGAACTGAGATGGAAATTTCAGAACAAATCATAGGAGGAAATGTGTTACATTTGTCAATATTGCTACATGCAAATGAATTTTCTGGTTGAAACCAATATCCCATAGCAAAGTAAACATTGAACAAAGCTAGGTTACTAAAATCTCAGGTGAAAATATGATTTGCAAGAATTTCTGAAGCCAATCCTGGGGATAGTTTCTATCAAGAAATCTTTACAGACCATGGACTGTACAAAAGATGTTGGCAATGCTTCTAAATTTATCTATCACAAATCACACTATTACAAACATTCCCGAATCCAGACTTTCTCTAATTGATAGCACATAGCAAATCTTTAACCTGGCAATGTAATTAATCGATTAGAAAAATAGAAAATCTTGCTTAAGAAGATGCCTTCCTTAATAATTTCCTAGCCAGATGCAGTTTTTTGTAAATCCGAACACCCTTCTGACCACCTGCCTATTTGTTGTATGTTGGGATGTCGGTGTTATCATTCGATGTGGAGCCAACCAAAATTGCCGCTAGCTTGCGTCTGAAGATGTCTATATCACCCTGTATAATATGTAGATGTAGTTTTTTAGCCTTAAATTTGAATTGATTGCATTACATACATGCTTTTGTAGTAAACTACATACCTGCTTAAATTTTGTGGTTAACTTTGATCCATTCCAGTGTTCCATGCACTTCAGCATGAAGAGACCACATGAAGACCTATAGAAAGATAATCCTTAACATAACAATTAATTTTGTAACAAAGATAATTGCATTTAATCCAAGAAGAGTAACATACAAATCTTTCTGCCTGGGTATGCTTGTCACACTGAACACAGGCCAAGTCGACAAATCAAAATCCGGCCAGATAGTTTGGTTAGATCTTTCATTGTATCCAGATATTTCGAAATATCTCTCCATTCCTTTCAGCTTTGATCATGCAGGAGATCGAAATATGAATAAATCGGAAGGGATGTTATTTACTAGTAGAAAGTAGTACGGGATATTATGGGCCCACCACTAATGTCAGTTCCGTGTCTTGTTTACCGGTGCTAGGTGATGAGTCCAGTAGTTGAATCTGGCGTTGCTTAACATGGACGACAGCCAGGTACCAATGATTCTTATTTCTATTTATAGGGATAAAGATCTGCATTTTCAAGCTTTGTTTAGTTCTGTTATGCCGAGCAAATTTTTTTAACTGAAATAAAATAGTTTTACCTGTTCGTTCTGGGCAATTTGGTTAGTAATTCTTGATATATATCCCTTTTCCAACTGCCGCTTGGAGATTTCGTGCACGCAGTCAATCGATATTTTACCTGTGATGAACGTTTTCATCATATATACTCTTCTGCGAGCTTGTGACTCTTCAAGGTATTTATGTTCCAGGTACATTATGTATGTGTCGATGATCTACATTTTGAATAATTTAGTACACATAACAATTATAATTTAATGATACAATAGAGGGTAAGTACGATGTTACTTCGTCAATAACATATCTAGCTTCACCATCGGGCAAGAACCGATTTGTCAACGGTTGCAATTGTTCCCTTGTAAGGAGCAATCCTTCCAATCTCACCAAAACACGGTCAGGCGGTGAAGTGTTAATGTAGTCGATGAGGAACTCATCCTCTTCGGTGCATGTAAACTCTGCAATCACAACCCAATTAATTTCAATGACAAATATAAAATGTTGTGTTACGAAATTTTTGAAGCATTTGTGCAAGGCATGCCTTCGGAATGTATTGGGGGGGGGGGCTGGAGTTGCCTTCTGTTTGTTCTTGGGGTTCTCTGGGTACACAAAGTCAGTGTTTAATTGTACAGTTGATGTGCGGGCCCTTCCTGTTGTTTGCACCCTTTTTGCAATAGGCGAGTTACTTGTATCTTTTTTCTTCTTGGCCTGCTACAGGAAGTTATGATGAACAATTTTCGGTTACAACAAGTTTCTAAATCGTATAGAGTTACTTATCATTATAGAATTTTTTTGATACCTTTTGTTGTGGGGGGGGGGGGGGGGGGGCGATGCATGTGTCATGCCATGTTTTTTGTTGGACTTCATCCTAACACCAGGTGCGTCGACTTGCGACGACTCCTTAAGGATTGGTTTGTTTTTCTTGCATTCATACGCTGTTGATTTAATAGCATGCACAAATGTTAATACGTAAAATAGTTAGTTCATGATAACTGATAGTTGTACTTCTCAACTCGTACCTGAATTTCTTTTCTTAATATGATTAAATGTTCATTCATTGTTTTAAGCTGCAACTGGACATCCACCATATCTGTTGTCTGTGCCTTAGTATTATCCTGCATGGAAAAATAATTAGAAAACAACTTAAAAAATTTTAGAAAAACAATTCAGTATGTACCATGTTACTTGGTTGGTTGGCATCTGTTCCGGAGTGATCTTTAGTGGTATACTCTTTGGTGGCCTCGATTGGGAGCTTGATATCATTCACAATCTATGTTCGAAACATGTGTACAAATTGTTAATACTAGGCATTGTCCTAATTATGTGTGCAAAAATTACAACGCACGAATTACCTGTCCTACTCCATACAGGATTTTTTCACGCTTTCTGGCTTTCTTCACATCCCAGTATTGTATCAGTGGTCTGTCTCGTCCGGTGTAATCTATGGAAGGATGTATGTGACTCACTCGAAACTTCTCCTAGTACCAAAGCTGAAAGAAATTTTTTTAAAAAATTTTCTATAGTCACACCATACAAGCATAAACCATAACTTGAATTGAAATTACAGCTACCAGTAGAAGAATTTGGTTGCCCTTAAGATTGACCTTATCATGCTGGAAACTGACGATTGACCTCTTCAGATGGTTTAGGGTTAAGCTAGCCCAGTTGGTTCTCTTTATATCTGCTATATTTATGAGTAGATTTAGGTAATCTGAATGGACGAATCTCTCAGTTGTAGGACATAGGATCAGACCAATTGTATATAGCACAAACTGCCTTTTAAAGTGATCGTCACAAGATTTATTCAAATTCAATGAATCCCGCAAGGCTGACAGAGTTATCTTAGTCTCCCTTTTGTCTTTATATAATGCAAACAGAGCGGCCTTTGTTGCCTGTAGAGCTTCGTTTTTTTCTTTCTCCTTTGGGTCATCAACGTCAGCTTGGATTGCTTGTGGCACTTCAACCAGTTCAACACCTTCTGATGGCACGCCGAGTATGTGATCTACATCTTCAATGGTTATCTCATGCATGGTTCCATTTATATTGAAAGCTCCAGTATGCTCATCATACTCCCTAGCAATTTGCTTGCATAAAATCCGGCGAATTTGGACTCCATTCATTTTTGTTAAGCCCCCAAATCCTAGATCATCTATGGCTTGCAGCTGGTCTTTGTCCAGAGTCTGTATGAATTTCCAGTAGGCTACTTGTGAGCATACTTGCGTTCCCTGCGATAATAAACATCACAATTTAGTTCATTATTGCATAGAGAGCGATCGTTAAGTCCTAAGAATAGTTGCTTACCGGTTTGTTGGCTCGAATATTATTCTTTGTCATTCTCGCTGGCGGCTCATAGTTGGGTATCATCAATGACTATATTCTGCGATGCGTTCAGAATAATTAAATCATTTAAAAACATTTACACAGTAATGCATGCGTTAATACATTGTTAATTAAGAGATATTACTTGAGCAACTACAAAAATTCAAAATCTACAATGAGACCAGGGGTTTACTTTCTAACTATGAAAACTGAAAAGCGTAGAACATGGACTGATCTGGAGAATTAATTCGGTCGTATATTAACAGTGGGTTAATTTCTAGTTTGTTGTGTACAGCACGCCACGAATCCTATATACTTATATAGTTCAATAGCACTAAGTGTACTTAATGCTATTTCTCTCTTCTCTCAGTAAGCCACAAGCCTTTCGATGATAGATCTATGGTTCAAATTATCTCTTCTTTTTTCTCTCATAACACAATGCAATCTCAATTATTTTTTAGGTTCAAAATTCATAAGTATCATTTTGTTATAGTTTTAATAATTATATTGCAACGCGGCTTATTCATCCAGTTGTAAATAATTACAGGCACAACAACCATCTACCTCGTGCGCACATGTGTGAATGTCAGGGCGGCTATTTTTGCTTTAACTGACAGACATTTCGTTGTATTGTGCAATGTATTTTTGTGGCCAAAAGTGCAGTTTAACATCAAGATATAATACATACATGTGCGCACGTTGTACCTCCTATCTGGCTTTCTTCAACACACACACACATACATGGATACAAATGGAATGCGCCGCTGTTCCATTTGGTAACCAACCATGGATACAGTCAACTGGGCGGTGTAATTAAAAACGAAGAGAAGACTAACCTTGAGTCAAAGTCTCCTGTTGATCCCGGACGGAGAGGAGGTGTCGCCGGAAGAAAGTCACCTGGCGACGCCGCAACGGCGTTTATCTGGAAGCACTATTAGGGTTAATGATGGCAAAGACTGGCGGCGTAATCATTAGGGTGCCAAATATTGCATGCGTCCGGTGTTGGGCCTCCTGAACTACAGGCCCAATCGTTTCAGATATTTATGATTGATTTACTGTTTTTTTTGTAAAGGTAATACCGATATACTGTGTGTAAAAAAACTGTAGTGGGTCCAACTAAATTACGTTCTGTCACCAATCATGTCCTAAAATAATATAAGTCCAAAAAACCTTTCCGCTATATTGTATGAGCGATCGACCGAAAAATTATGTTTTTAAAAATTGACCCGGTCTGGATGGTCACGGACTTAATTATTTATTTATCAAAAATATGACCCGGTCCGGATAGACCCGAAATTATTCTTTTCTGATAAAAAATACCGTCCGGACTTAATAGTTATTTTGTTTGAAATAAACCGTTCCGCTTTATTCTACGCGCGGTCGACCGGAAATCGTTGATTAGTTAAAAATTGACCCGGTCTCGGACTTAATAGTTATTTTGTTCGAAATAAACCGTTCCGCCTTTTTCTACGCGCGGTCGACCGGAAATCGTTCATTAGTTAAAAACTGATCCGCGCCCGGACTTAATAGTTATTTTGTTCGAAATAAACCGTTTCGCTTTATTCTACGCGCGGTCGACCGGAAATCATTGATTAGTTAAAAATTGACGCGCCCCGGACTTCATAGATATTTTGTTCGAGATAATCCGCTCCGCTTTATTATATGCGCGGTCGACCGGAAATCATTGATTAGTTAAAAATCGACGCGCCCCGGACTTTTATAGTTATTTTGTTCGAGATAATCATTCTCCGCTTTATTATATGCGCGGTCGACCGGAAATCATTGATTAGTTAAAAATCGACGCGCCCCGGACTTAATAGTTATTTTGTTCGAGATAATCATTCTCCGCTTTATTATATGCACGGTCGACCGGAAATCATTGATTACTTAAAAATCGACGCGCCCCGGACTTAATAATTATTTTGTTTGAGAATATTCTATGCGCGGTCGACCGAAAATTATTGATTAGTTAAAAATCGATGTGCCCCAGACTTAATAGTTATTTTGTTCGAGATAATCCACTCTGCTTTATTATATGCGCGATCGACCGGAAATCATTGATTAGTTAAAAATTGACGCGCCCCGGACTTAATTGTTATTTTGTTCGAGATAATCATTCTCCGCTTTATTATATGCGCGGTCGACCGGAAATCATTGATTACTTAAAAATCGACCCGCCCCGGACTTAATAGTTATTTTGCTCGAGATAATCCGCTACTTTTTATTATATGCGCGGTCGACCAAAAATCGTTCATTAGTTAAAAACCGACCCGCGCCCGGACTTAATAGTTATTTTTGTTCGAAATAAACCGTTCCGCTTTATTCTACGCGCGGTCGACCGAAATCGTTGATTAGTTAAAAATCGATCAGGTCCCGGACTTAATAGTTATTTTGTTCGAAATAAACCGTTCCGCTTTATTATATGCGCGGTCGACCGGAAATCATTGATTAGTTAAAAATCGACGTGCCCCGGACTTACTACTTAATAGTTTTCATCCCTAGTTATTAGCTATTCTAAATCCGTCGCTTAAAAAAAACAGATAATTCAGCATAAAAAATAATCGTACGATCCATCTAACCAAAGAAATTATCGGACTAGTACTACCAGTTAGTTATTAGCTTTATCTTTTGCTAAATCCCCGGCAACAGAAAAAAAACAGAAAGACGCAGCGATACAAAAGGGTTCGGTTCGCATCCGCGGCAACTGGTATAAAACTGAAAGGCGCAGCGATACAAAAAGCATTTCTTTCTCCTATCTTCCGTGCGCCTCCGTTCTTCATTGACCATCATGGATCCCGTGACCGGTCCGTCGCCACCCTCCGCATCGCGGCGTCAATCCCAGGACTTTTCTACGGTTCATACGGGTCAAGATGACAGTCCTGCCATGGACTCTACGGCAAAAACACATCTCAAGGTATTTCTAATTACTTTTTTTACAATTACTATCGATTCACGATACATGACCCCTATTAGATCGAATAACCATGTAGATGTATAGCCATATATACATGCACCAAATAGTTTTTCTACAAATTCAGCTAATATTAAATACATAGAAAAGTTTTTCTAGAATAGTTTTTGTTTCACATTCGATGGGGGCGGCGCCGCTGCTACGGCCATCTAGGCGGAGGCCATGGTTTCTGACTTTTGGGCTGGTTTTGCCCCTAATCCGGTGATTAGTTGTCTCCCATTATTATTAGAAGTAATTAATTATCCAAGAAGCAGCCGCAGAACCTCCGTCATGGATTTCTTTATACAGTTTAATTCTAGCAGGGGCTCTAGCAATTTGCAAATTGAACTCGATGGATTTTCTTCTGTATTTCTAGGTCAGATGATAATTTTAACCTAGCTGATTCAATGCATATCTTTTCACTGCTTATGAGTTAAAAAAATAGCATTACAGTTCAACCATTTGGAATGCAAAAATTTGCTGAAAATTACCGATACGAACTTCTGGATAATTCTGATATTGATACCATGATATGTCTGCACTACCAAAGTACCAATTGTACTTTAATTCCTGATGAGAGTGCTAACTATTGTTGTATATTTTAGGTTTCTGGTTCGCTGAACAACATTCAATTTGACTTGCCTGTGGAGATTGTAGAAAAAGTTAACCATTTTGCAAATGAAGTAACTGAAATGAGGAGAGGGTTTGACAACATATTAATGGTCCAAGAACTCCAAATGCAACAGATTGCGGTATTCTATTTTGCTATTTTCATAATAGTTCAACATTTTTTTATACAACTAAGTACAATGTATTTTTTGCTTCAGGATTTAACTCACGGTGTTTCACGATATCCACGCAAGAAAGAGATCTCCATTGACCCCGCTAACTCCATCGCAAAACGAGTACATGGACTGGATGGTAGGCCTATCATAGCAAACAAAAAGTTTGATTATGATAGAAGGACATTTGTGGAAAATAAGAAAGATTTCGATTCCGAGGCAACATTTCCAGAGCAATGTACTGTAATAGACATACAATCTTTGGATCGTGAGAACACCATCGTGCACATTGACGATGTTGTGCTTACAGGAGCAAATTTGGAGTGTCTGACCAAACTATATTGTTACGACGATGATAAAAAATCCATTAGCCCAGAGGTGTGTAATTTCCATTATGATAATTATTTCTGTCATGTTTGGTGCTAATTATAAATATTGTACCCTTGTGTAGACCATTGATGCTTTTGTTGAACACTACAGGCATACAAAATCTGTTGTGGATGGAAATGCGTACATAGAGAGGGCGTCAGTCGTGTCTATGCTTATGTTATCAGCTTTCTATGATGGGGTGGATATCAATAGATATAAAAATATGATGCACGAATCAGCTGGCCATAGATATTTACGCCATGATATGGTAATTAATATGTGGTTATCTTGTAAATTTTTTTGGCCATCATGGATCTCTAATCTCTAACTAAAGCAAAAAAATCGATGCAGGTCTTCCTTCCAATATGTACTTCATTAAAGCAACTGGTATGTAGCAATCGTTGATGGTACTAAACAATAAGTCCATGTACTAGAATCAATGGAGACCACTGTAAAGGACCATACTGAACTAATGCTTGCTGTAAGTTTTTTTAACATGTTCATTTCACCTCATGTGGAGTTTAGTCTTTCTTGTGCACGATTATACTAAATCTAAATTTGTTATAGTTGCAAGGAGTAGAAAAATGCATCAAGCTTGCCATGGATTCTGATGTTCATTATCCTACGTGGACTGATTTCAATGTCACAAATTGGGATATAAGCATACGATACTTGGCCAGGAAGAAGGATAGGTACGCACAACATTTGGAGTTTCGTGTACATAAATTACTTGCCGAATAACTCATTTGTGTCAAAATTTTATGTAGGACCTCAAGTGGACTATTCATAATAAAGTTCATCGAGTACTGGAATGGGGTGTGTCTGACTAAAACTTTTTTTCAGGTAACACTTGATGTAAAACACGATAACTATTTATTTTATCTCGTGAGATAACATATAGTTGTGATCTATGCAGGAAGACATCGATGAATACAGAAGAAAGATAGCAGCGATTCTTTACAACTCTCCATCCAACAAAATTCAGAATCATGTACAGGCCATCTCCGAAGAAATCTAAGATGTTCAGCTTTGCATTGGGAGGAGATTTTTTCATTAAATTCTTAGATGTTCATTTATCATTGCGATGTTTTATTTTGGAGATTCTTAGTTTGTCTTGTCGGATGTTCATTTCGAATAAGCTAGGTGTAATTTTTTTAATATTAAACTCTATCTGTTATTTATTAAATGATACTCTATCTGGTTATTCAACGATGTCAGATGCGGGAACTTATTCTTTTTTTTTAAAGAAAATAACGTTCTGCAATAATATATGCATGCGGTCGATCGAATAACCATGATTCTCTACTACTTAAAAATAGTAGTACATCTGGGGGATTTTTTTCCAGTATTCTGAATATTTTTAACATGAGACTTCTGATTCTTGAATCTGGGTTAGCACCATAAATGCAAGGGTTAATGGGTTAAATTTTCTACCGTATAATTTGAAGGTTACAAAACTAATTCACTTCTTCATATACTAATAGAATTTCCCTTCTTTTCAAAACATGGTAAATGTGTTAGCTCCTGATGATATAGAAATTGATATAGTTAGTCGATTGTATTTTCATAGAAGGTGAAATTATATTTATATATCGTATGTTTGTAGGGAACACAACCTCAGGATTACCCCTGCTCTTTTTTTTAAATGCGTTGTGACAAATAACTTGAGGTGGAAATTGATTTCCTGAGGGATCATGTGACAGTGTTCGTACCGAGATGCATCAAGTACGTGGCTGGGTGCTGTGTCCACTGAACTTCATCTCTAAACAGTTAAGATGCAATTGATCTCTTGCTCTGGCATTTTTCATTCAGCCTTGTGTTCTGATAGAAGAAACATGGTTTATAGTGCTATTTCACAATGAATGTCTGCTCAATCAAGAGGAAACATTTCTCATCAATTTTCTCCAAAGTACACATCTTGTTTTGGGAGGGGGTCAACATTTTTAGAAGCTGAATTTCAACTGAGCCAATTTCAGCACCAACAGCAGTACAGTTTCAGCAGCAGCAGCATTACAGTTTCACCAGCAGCAGCAGCCGCCCAGTTTGAGCAGCAGCAGGAGTTCAGTTTCATAGCAGCAGCAGCGGTTCACTTTCATTTCAGCAACAGCAGCAGCAGCACAATTTCCAACAATAGCAGTATCATTCCAGAATCAACGACAGCATCATTCTAGCCAACAGCACCATTAAAGCATCACACAACCATCACCAAAATGAAGTCACCATTCTAGTTGCAGATCATTTATTCCTAATATTTAAAAAGGCCACTAAATTTATTTGTTCATTACACTCCTTTAATAATAAATAATCAGCAATGAACTGCAGCCTTGCAACGCAATCAACAAAACTGTGTGCTTCCGTCGGAATCATCTCAGGGCAGCCAGGTGCGCCACAGTTATGCTGCCCAGGGACGTCGCCCCAACGTTGAACTGCAGGAGGAGCTACTGACCACCAGACAGGGTAAACCACAACTCCATGATCTTCATCCAGGACCTAATTTCAGAAACCAAGCAGCAACCAGTCAAGTTAGGACACAGGAGGCAGCTCAATTCTGTAATTTTCTGAAATTGGAATAAATCAAGTTCAATTCTGTAATGTTTCTGTCAAAGAATTGTTTTATAGTTCTAAAGCATTTCAGCTTATTTGCCTCTGTACACATGTAAAATAAATTAAGTGCCTCAGTAAAGCACCAACTTCTGAATGTTAAGAGTTTGTTTGAGATAAGTTGAAAAAGGAATGGCCTATCTATTGTACCTAAAACATCTATCAGCCACAGTCGTAAATAAACCACCAATCTGTCATAAGCATAAAACTTGAACAACTACATGAACAGATTCAGAGACAATGTTGGAAATACACAGAAGCACAGCCCTCCCCTGTCGTGCAACACATTCTATTCCATAACTGTGTTTCACTAGTTGTGTTCCAGTAATCAACATAATAAAGTGCAAAAATTAAAAAGTCACATTAATGTTGGAAGAAAAGGTTTAGTGTGAAGCCCTCTTATTTGCGTAGGACTCACGGCACGGCTTCAATCTCTTAGAAGGAATCCTTCCTTTAGGAACAATCTTATGTGGATCGAGGACTCTCTCACCACTGGGTTGGTTCGACGCTGAGAAGTGCGCCGGCAAAGGACCAAGTGTTGTCTCATTAACGCTACCCTCGTTCTCGGCACCTTCCCGCATAAAATTTTCAAAGAAATCAATGACTTGCTGTGACCTCTCAAAACTCAAAGAAGCTTTGACTAAAGCCTCATTAGCTATGTTACGGAGAAGGCGGTACTGATCCATCTGTTCGGACCACTCATGCACATTTGCAGTTCTAATTGAAGGGAACGCTGCCTTCGCTTGCAATGTCCATCTAACCGCAACACAGCACTGAGGAATAATGTCAATTCGGAGATACTTCAGAACTGTAAATATATGTGAGCATGGTATCTCTTTGCTATCCATCATCTGACAGTAACACTTCACGCCCATCAACAATGCACCATCAAAACTACAACTCACTTCACCATGCACTTTATGGTCATATTTCGAAGCAATACTGTACCTTCGAGCCTCATCCAGTTGCCTCACCTCCAAAATCACCCATTTACAAATCTTCCGAATCTCTGCCCTTACCTCCCTGAAAATGACATGGGTGAAAAAGCGTGCAGCACTAATTTTAGTGAATGGTACCGATTGTGATGCTCTAGCATCCATCTCAGCCTCATTTCTACGCATACGCGACACACAGCACATGAAATGCTCTATGACATCGATCAGTGACATTTTCCTGTCGAGATGACTATGAATTCTTGAGTTCAAACCCTCACTCCTTTGATTGCTCCTCATCCCTAAGAAATATCTCCCATCGGTATACGCCGCGGCCCACTTTTCCCTTAGCGCATACATCATGGCTAGCCATAACTCCTTCTCCGGCACATTATCCCTGTTCTTAAAGGCACACCATCGTCTCTCAAATTCATCGGCCTTCATTACTTCGTAGACGAGTCTACGAAATTTGGTGAGCGCATCCCCATGGAGATGGCGTTTTGCGTTCTCCTCAATGTACCATGTACATAACCGATGATCTGCATCAGGACAGACCTTGGCGATGGCGTTTGCCATGGAAAGGTCCCCATCGGTGATAAACGATCTAGGATGCTTGCCACCCATCGCCTTAATGAAGGTCTCCAGCAGCCACACATATGAAGAAACCGTCTCATCTGAGAGCAGACAACACCCAAAGACAACCGTGCTACGGTGATGGTTTACACCAATAAAAGGAACAAAAGGAAGGTTGTACCGGTTGACACGGTAAGTGGCGTCAAAAACCACAACACCTCCAAATGCGTCATAGTTGATCCGAGATTGTGCATCGGCCTAGAACATATTCTTCAGATGACCTCCGGCATCAGTATTGTACTCAAAGAAAAATTCTGCATCTCTTTCCTTCTGTTCGTTCAAAAGGCTCAGTGCAAATTGAGTGTCCATACCCTCAATTCTTTCTTTCTTGTAACGAGCAACGAAGTTGTACAAGTCCCGAGACACAAACCCAACCTGATCATAACCACCATGATTCTTCTCCATGACGTCCATTATATTGCATGTACGAAGGCCACTGACCCCGAGTTCTACAACCTCAGCCTTTTGAGCATCACTTAGATTCCGATGGGATCATAAGAATGCCACTTGGTCATGCTTTGCAAGTGGGTGCGCATGACCATCGTTGAAATCTTTAACAAACCAAATCCCCATCTCCTCATTCAACTGTATCTCAAGTTTGGCCTCACATCCGCAACGTGTCAGGGCCCTTGGCTCCCTAATTTGGTCTGTTCTTTCAAAGTATTTCAACAACCTATAGCCTTCATATGAGCAGCACAAACGCCTCCAGACCACCTTACCATCTCCATTGTACCTAACATTGTCCTTTCTGATGCTAAAACCTTTCGACCAAGCATAATCATTATAGAACTTATATCCTTCATCCTCGCTTCTAAACTCCTTGGTTATCACACTCTCATACTCTGTGATCTCCTCCAAACTAATGTGATTGCCAGCCATGCCAAAATTCTGCAATTCAAAATTTCAAAATTCAACAATAAGTCAAACCACATAATTTAATACTACCAAAATGTACTTATATGGAAGTAAAATACTCAGATTTATATTCGTAGAACTTAAAGTTGTATTCTTTTCCTTTGCCTATTCATTTCATGAATAGTATGACGTGCTATCTGAATTCTATAATCTCTATTTACACACCAGTCCAGCACATCAAACCATGCTTCCTACATTGCTACGAGTGATCAGATCGAATTATTCTTATATGCAAAATTTATAGCTTAACTATATGACAAAACCAAATATTTTGCTTCTAACTACTCATCGACAATATATTCTAAAATCAGAATTAATCTAATATATCCTATCAGTGCAACAAACATCTAAAGGAGGCAGCGGCTAGCTTGCTCCTAGTCACTGAAGATGTGGAGTTCGACGGTGTATCAGCACAATTCACAGGAACTAAAAGCTTAAATAATGTCAAACATGAGTTCAGAGATTACTGAAATAAAAGATCCGAAACATCAGAAAGTTCAGAGAAATAACTTTAATTTAGTCCAAGTTTGAGACCAGATTAGGTTTCATGTATTTAATGATGTTTCAGTGCTATCTGATTTGCTCCTTTATTAGCATTGCTAGAAAAATATACAAATCTTTAGACGATTTACATATTTAACAGGAGACTGTAATATTCCCGGCAACACCACACTCCTATACGACATCTTCCTGGTTGGATTTTACAACTGAGCATATGATCAAAAGGAATATGCTTGAATTGAACAGACTAGGTGCAAACAAGGTACAGTGGTGGTATTCTGAACAAGGTACAGTGCAAATAAGAGTATGGGCTACCAATTGCAGAACAACATATATCCATTTGTATATAAACTAGGTGAATAAACAGTCAACAAAAAAAAATAGTAGTAAGTGAAGTGGATTTGTTACTCAAATATTTAGTACTCCCTGAAACAAATCAATGCATTTCGGTGACATTCTCTTGATCAAATCGTACTTTTAAAATTCAGATATCTTGATGATGTTATTCTAAAGAGGGTTTACCATCAGACAATTGTGCGCTTACTAGGGCCAAGAGAAAAGTAAAGTGAGGGGCGCCGTGGAGCGCGGGGGCGCAGGGGTGGCGCGGCGGCTCGAAAGGGGAGGGTCGCCGCGGGAGTGAGGGTGCAGGCGCGGCGCGGCGCCGCGAAAGGGGAGGGTCAACGCAGGCGCGGCGGCGCCAAAGGGGAGGGGCGCCGCGTCCGCGCGAGGGTGGAGGGGCGGCGCGGCGGCGTGAAAGGGGAGGAACGCCGCCTCCGCGAGAGGGTGGAGAGGTAGTGCGGCGGCGTGAAAGGTGAGGGACGCCGTGGCCGCGCGAGGGTGGCGGGGCGGAGCGGCGGCGTGAAAGGGGAGGAGCGCCACGGGCCGCGCGAAGGTGGCGGGGCGGGGCGGCGCAGCGGGGGGACGGAGAAGATGGAGGCCATAAACCCCCCCCCCCCCCCCCCCCCCCAACGACGCGATGCGAAGCGCCTGAATCGGCCGGGTCCAGCGAACAGATTTTGGAACGCGAAAATACTGTAATACCCTTCCACCAAAATTAAGAGAAGGACAAAAATACCCAAAAAAATCAACCGTCAGATGTTCTCCTACTACACTACTACAGGTAGTAGTGGGGGGTACCGTAAAACCCCCCCTCTCTTTCAGCCATTGCTCTAACCATATCCGCCCAATTCCATGATCCTTTATGCAGATGGACACCCTAACAAGAGCGGCTGATAGAAGACAGGTAGTATGATATTGGAAACGAAATGGATACTTGTTTTCCTTTTTCAGGACAGGTCTAATGAATGCCTGTGCGGTAAAACAGAATGACCAAATTTAGACTCTTCAGTAACGTACCAGCGAGAGCTTAATTAGCTGTAAAATTAAACACTTGGATCAGGAACGATGAGTATTTGGAAGAATATTACTACCTCCTGGACGCCATTAATAGATGATAAACATAGACAATCATCCTTGCTTTATATATCTTAGGGAGCACAAGGATCTGTGAGGATATGTACCATGCGTACAGATTGATCCCTTTGAAACTTAACAGAGGTCATAGGTAGAGATTGCGTCATTTGCTATGGCTGGACACAAAGTATTTCTTCTTTTCCTGGCTGTCCTCGGATCCTTGGCCATTCTGTCACAATGTAAGTCAACTTATCTGCAAGAGTTTATATCAAAAGTTATTTTAGTTTGAATCCTGTTGATTGTTTTTGCACCATGAACAGAGAATAATAGCAAATCTCACTACTGCATCCTTTATTTTCTTACTTGGCAGCTGAAAGCACCAGTGACATGGATGGTGACAAGTCCACGGTGGATCTGTGCTCAGAGTCAAGTGGAGGGCAGTACTGCTGCTTCCCTGGAAATGGTTGCTACCCGGACAGAGCACAGTGTATAAGTGCTGCAAAGACTGGAAGAACACCAACTGCACCAAGGACATTATTGCACCTCCCTCTCCCTCCCTCTCACCGTAACCGATGTGCAATAACAAGGATATGCCAAGAAATCTGTCATCTTTGTCTTGAAACAATAAGTAGACATGATCAGGAAATCGCAACTTTCTTGGCGTTTTTGTTCGAATTTATCTTTTCACTTGTGGATTAGTGACATTGTTAATTGGTCCCTAGCTAAAAACGGAACGTTGTTATAACCAGCGAAACAATACTTTGATAGATGATCAAAACTTCTGAAGAAACATTAGTTCTGTCCTATATTTCCTCGCATGGCGCCCTAATAATTTCAGCGTAGAAACCTGTTATATACAGCAAAAAGAGAAAATTCTCCTTAACCATAAGTACCGTGACCACAAAATTCGAACAACTCTCACATGCCAAAAGTTATGAGCTTGACCGGACTTGTAATGCATATATTTAACAATAAATTCGATATTTTAGTTATATCCAAATTGTGAAAAAAAACACTTTATCGAAGAAATAAAACCTCTGTTAAAAATAGTTTCTATTAATTTTTAGTGATGTGTATAACTGTGGGGGCTTCCCCTACAGTAGTGCTTTCCTAAAAAATTTTTTAGTGACATAGTAGTACACAATGCATACCATTATATATCCGTACCACATGGGCACACCAACACACTAAGTGTGTCACCATAACATATGCTCACTGAAATAAAAGCCGATATCGACACTAAATTTCTGACACATGTGTATACGTGCTTGGAATATTTGTGGGCTCAGTATATAAATTCATATACAATCACACATATGCATATGTGTGGCCATTAGGATTTAAATCCGAGTGGAATTGTCTTTTTTTGGCATTTTTATTTTTTATTTAAATAAATAAATCTTGTATGAGAGTACAAACAAGAGGGACAACCATTTGAGCAAAGTGTAAGAACAAAACCTAACAGGAACAGTCTTATCCATCTACAAATTCTAGATGTTCAATAGACCTTTTGTCAATGAAAATACAATGTCAAGCAAAAATAGATAAAAAACTTAATAAAATAAAGCCTTATGTTGAATTGGCACGACATAAATTCAGTAAAAAAATAGCCTTAAGAAAGAGGCAAATTATTTATAAATAGTTAGACAATAATACACCAATATATAGAGATGCACTAAAACATATGCTGTATGCGTAATAACTACGACGCAGCCCTTACATAGTATTTTTTTACTACACGCTATATGTTTCTCAAACACCTTATATTAAAAATTTTACTAATAGGCTTAATAGGAGAATTTGTGATGATTTCACTCTCTAAAAGAATTACTAACATTGGACGCGTTTTAACTATATATAACGTGTCACTGGTGTAATATAGTATGTCTATATATATTTAATTATTTATTAGGTCTAGACTTTGATATTATCCGATAAGAACAAAAATAAAGACTCCTAACCGATTGTGATTTTGGCAATTACTATCAAATAAAATATAATGCAAAATATATGCCAGGATAGTTTATATAGTAGTATTTCACAAAATGTACTAGTTGTGTCGAAGATAAAACCTATATTTAATACCCATTGGTAATCCTTTTGCTGGCTCAACCCATCTATAAATGTTTCATAGAATATTCTCGTAGGATAACATAGTATTTATTAGTATCCTACCAGGCATAGCTATGCAGGCATTTAACTCACCTCCTGAGCCATTACTTAGTGCTGCTAATTATAGCTCATTTGCTTTGCTTTATATATCGGATGAATCACAGGGAATATGTATGCTAGCCAGACATTACATATACTAGAGCCTGGGGCGCGCCGCCTGAGCGGAATTACGGTGGGCAAGAAATGGGTAATTAGCAAAGACGCCAGATGTGAGATATAAATGTAAGTATTCTTTGGTGTTAAAAAAAAAGAGCAAGAAAGCAGGAAGTGAAATAGAAGTAAACTGCAGTGCCAAGCAGTTATAGGCATACCGATATCTAGTAGTCTTTAGCAGCAACATGGATATACACAGACGTTTCTTAACATGTCCAAGCTAGTGCACTATGGATAGTAAGCACCTAAGGTGTAGAACTAATAAGCATGGTAACAGTTCCAGGGGAGGGAAGCGGCCGATCCTGATAGTGATCAGCTTGTTTACTGGCAGCAGAAGCACGATCATAAGATAGCTATGAATGCCCATATGGTCTTCACAGGACATCAATAGTAACCTCCAGGCAGGTTGTCATGTAGAAATGGAAGATGCAAACTGATCCGAGAGCTATGTCATCTGTGCTGCGAACTTTGTCCACCCTTTCTTCGAGTTGCAACGGTCATATGTTGAAACGTGGAGGATCATGCTGGTTGAAATACCTCCTGCTACTTGTACTTCAGTGTCGACAGTTTTTTACCTTCCATTAGCGGTTTTATGTAGTTCTGTGAAAATTCCTTTGTAAAGTACTGTAATTGCACGGTATGTTAGTTCTTTATTAGTGGTAGAAAAGCAATACTATCATGAATGATAGGGGTGGCAAAAATAAACAATTGTTGCAAGAGCTTACAACTCTATCTTGCTTGATGAATGTGCTGTTGATGGTCACAGCATAGAAGCTGCTTGAATTAATGGTGTAGGAACCGCTTAATAGCTTCGATGTACTTTTTTAGATCAGTTGTGGGCTGGATATTTTTTTTGCGCAAAAGCACAGCTCCCTGTATGTACGCCCGCGGTTACCTGCACGAATATATTTGTATGTGAGTTTTCATTGGATGGGAAGATGCAGGTGATGTAAATGAATAACAATGTCTATAGATGTTCGTAGGCAACTAGGCATTGCTATAGCGTGTAGTACTGAAGCGACTTAGTGAATATCTTCTGTTGTTGTTGGGCGGTGGTAGGGCTGAAAATTTTATAAGGAGGTGATATGCTGCAGCACTATAAGATAGATGTAGATCGTGTTTCAGCACAACTTTGTCTGTGGGAGATCGCTATGCTAAAATGCGAGTGACAACACTATAGGGAGTCTTTAGTAACTGCCTTTGTGTTACTCCGTATTTTGTTATTTGTAATTGTTTGTATTTGATTATATCTGGGAAGAAAGCAAATCAATTTAGATAGAAACAGAGGTTAGGTATACCTGATGCCTTGCCTTTGGAATATGAATCGATTGATAGTTCTTGTTCAGTGTTGGATGACGTGTTTGATATGCATGCGACCAACTGCTTATCAATAAAAATAGCTATATATATGTAGTTGTATATGCAGAGATAGGTAGATAGTCTAGGCTATACATAGACATGAAATAATAGTATGTTAAGTAGTAAAGTAGGACCTTCAGTTGAGGTGCTGGAAACGACAGTTGCTTTCTTGGGAGGTCCTTCTCTGATTACAATACCCTTAGATGGTTGATGGATATATTTACTTGCCTTGCTCTTCATCTGATGGTTGGATGAAGTAGCTAAAGGGAGTTTGCTGGCTCCATCTTTATCAAACATGAGGACATCAAGCGTTGATGAAGAGGTAATCCTCAAGCGAATATATTGTCCAAAACGTAGGCCAACACTTTGGGTAAAGGTTTTCCATCCTTTAGAGATGAAGAATGAGCCTGCTCTCTGTTCTAACGTAACATTCGTTGGTGGGCTGTGGGTGCAAAGCAGGGTCAACTTTTTGCCATGGTACGCATCGCAGCCATGCGCAATCTTGTCTGGCAGACGCTGGAAAACATTGCAGCATTAGTAATAGATATGTAATTGAGGCGCAAATGCAAAGGATAGATTTATCTGTACTTACAAAATGATCACGGTCGAAACGAGTAAACTTCAGCTTTGCTGATGTAGATTGGACCATGATTAAGAAGCTGCAGGGTGTGTGTCTTATTTGACAGTAGCCTGATGAGCGAAAGAAGAGAAATAACAAACAAAAAACAAAAAAAGTAAGAAATTGGATTTTAGGATTTGGGGTGCGCCTTGGCACGCTGCCTGCATATAGCTGGATCACTCACTATTATTGAACAATAATGTTAAGGCAATAAAGTTATATGGAAAGTT